GTGTTGTTAAGTGAACCAAGCATTTCCATGTTCTGCTCATTAAGGGTGAAATAACAGTCCAGATTTGTACGTTTTGCTTTGCTTTTAATCAATAGTTTGCGCAGGGGTACAGCAACAGGCACAATTTTATAATGATTAATTTTTCATGAGTACATAGGATACACTTTCTTCCCTAAACAAGGCGATGACTACTATCTGTGGAAATTCTAAACCTCAAGAGCCCTCGAGGGTTTACAGATACTGCCTTCACATAAATCTTTCACAACTCAAGCCAAAAGATATTCTCCCTCAGCTCCCTCATGAACCAGAAACACCTTCGAGCAAATCTCACTAGTAGCCAATTCAGTACTCCCAAATTTATTCTGTATGCTGTTCTTCCAATTTGATGAAACAATTTAATTAGAGCAGAGTAAGAATGAGGTCGTCCGCTTACCATGATTTTGGAATGCCCCTTAGTGAGACACTTGTGGGGGTAAGGGCAAATTTCCTGTTCTCTAGGAGAGAGATACAGGCCGACCTCAGAGGCAGGTGCAACTATTTCCAAATTAGAAGATCAGAGTTTGGACGGGCCCAGGTCATGCAATTATAGAAGTAGGAAACTCATCCAGTTCGAGTGTTGACGAAAGAAAGCTTACATCCAATCCCATGTCAGTGAAGAAAAGAGTTAACTTCCATCATCATCTCAAAACTGGTAAAATCCAATCTCCTTTTTGGGCTCCTTCTGATCCTGATGAGCTGCCCCTCGCCTGTAATTCTCTCTGCTCAGTTCCTTAGTTCAGCTCCGACTCTGCATGGACCCAGTTCATTCTGTCCAGTCTGTATTTAAAGACTTATTCATCCCTCCTCCTCTTAAGGAGGGGTTATGGAAAATTACATCATCTCTTTTCCAGTAACTTCTCTGCTGTTTTGCACCTCAACCGGTTCAGACCGGTTTTCTCGGTACTTTCCAGAACTTGTTTTGCTCAAAGATGAGTCATCATGAGATGAGTTGTGTTTGAACTCTCTGACTCTTGTTCTCCTCTACTGCTCGAGGCATGTCCAGACTTGTTCTTAGGTGGGCATGCTCAGACATGTTTCTCTGTTACATGAGGCCTCTTTACTTTACCATCTCACAAGTGAGTAAATCACACAATCATACAAAGGATTATACAATTTCTTAAAGATTAATACTTCCATTAGTTGATTATGTGTTGATTATTAGTAAAACAGTTTGGTTACACATTATTAAAACAGTAAAACACTTTTGATTACACTTTATCTTGTTTAGCTAGATTTAAAGCAGGAGTTCAGTCCTTATGTTGCTGAGGAGAACTTTTGATCAGGCTTCATTTTTCTTAAAGCTGGTGGTCTGTTCCTGCATTATCACCACAGACACCTGGTTTATTGACAACTCATTCCCATTTTTGGTCGGCCAGGATTTTATAAATCGCTTCGACGCGATTATAGATTATGGTGATCAAACGATGTGGGCCAAGGTGAGCAAACCACTGCCAATACAAATGCCTCCGGAGTGTAACACAAACTGCCTAACAGCAGGTACCGCAGAAGGCGCAAAGGACTCCTCAGCCGAGGACACGAGCCCGGTGAGTA